TGGGTGGATGGATGGGTGGGTGGATGGGTGGATGGACGGACGGATGGGAGGGTGGATGGATGGACGGATGGATGGGAGGGTGGATGGATGGGAGGGTGGATGGATGGGAGGGTGGATGGATGGGAGGGTGGATGGATGGGAGGGTGGATGGATGGGAGGGTGGATGGATGGGAGGGTGGATGGATGGGAGGGTGGAGGGATGGATGGATGGGTGGGTGGATGGATGGATGGGTGGATGCATGGATGGGGAGGGTGGATGGATGGGTGGGTGGATGGATGGAGGGATGGATGGATGGGTGGATGGAGGGATGGATGGATGGGTGGACGGATGGAGGGAGGGATGAATGGATGGACGGATGGAGGGACGGATGGATGGGAGGGTGGATGGATGGGAGGGTGGATGGATGGGTGGATGGAGGGATGGATGGATGGGTGGATGCATGGATGGGGAGGGTGGATGGATGGGTGGGTGGATGGATGGAGGGATGGATGGGTGGATGGAGGGATGGATGGATGGGTGGACGGATGGAGGGAGGGATGAATGGATGGACGGATGGAGGGACGGATGGATGGGAGGGTGGGTGGATGGGAGGGTGGGTGGATGGGTGGATGGATGTGTGGATGGATGGATGGATGGATGGATGGATGGATGGATGGATGGATGGATGGATGGATGGATGGATGGATGGATGGATGGATGGATGGATGGACATCCTTACCCCAAGCAGCCCGGTTACAATCCTCCCCTTCATGAGTAAAGAGAGAACTTGACAGAAGAAATGCAGAGAGGGGGACGCGGCGGACAGGAGGGGGGAAGCGCCGATGCTTTTCGTGGGGTTGAGTTTGCAAGCTGTCACCGCGGGGTGGGGAACTGTGTGTTCAGGCAGCGCTGGGATGAAGGTCGAGGGGGCTCGGGTTGTCGGGTTTAGTTAGAAATACTCTTAAAACACCAGATTGGGATGCCAGCTCTGAGTTCTCCACCGCGTCCGGCACGAAGTACGCTTGTGGTCCATGAGGAAATTGGTTTCCTCATTTCTAATGTATTGTCTGTTTTCACACTGCTGGCTTTTTGGAGGCGCTGGCAGTGGGGTGTTGGAGCTCAGGTGATTCTCTCTCGGCTGGCGGTGCTGCAGCATCTCCCCCCCCTCCAGATTTTCCCCTTTGGAGGAGTTTTTAGCCCCAGTTTCTCGAGCCTCGCTGGTCACCTCGAGGTCGGGATTGGCGGCTGTAATTACAGCCCGGCTGTTAATTGTTGGGCGGGGCTGGGGTTCACCCCTCTGGGCGGGGGGTGGGCTGTTTGATAGTGCTAAATGGCACCTAATAGCAGATGTAAAGTACCTGGTAGCCATCCATCTCTCCTAAAACCACCTGCAGCCTTAATTCAAATCCATTGATTCCTATTCCAGTTAAAGCTGGAGAACTTAAACTGTCTTTTAATCCTTTTATTGTAAGCTAGGGTAAAAATTAATTTTACCCGAGAACTGTGCAAAGCCAATTAACGTGATCTTCAGAGTTATTTAGTAAAGTGCTTCAAACTGTTAAATTTATCCTGACCTCGTGGCTGCACTCGCTTTTTACATGAGGCAATCGATCTCTCCCGGCCTTTTAAGCACTGGAAACTTTGGAAATATTTTACCTAGATTTTAAGCACTTCATAAATACGCCCCGTGCCCTCTGTAAAGCTGGCTCCTCCTAAGCAGCTGTGGACGTTCAGCTCTCGAAAACCAAGAGAATTTTGAAATTTTTTAACACTGGCCATTTTGTGTAACAAAAGCCCAGCTGGGTAACTGCAGGGCCGGGATCCCTTTCTCTCTTGGGGCGGGCGGGTGTGGAAGTGTGTTATTTTTCCAACAAAACTGGAGAACGTTCCTGTCCTCTCACCGGCCGAGCTTCTGTTTTCCACATAGAGCTGTTTGAGGTTATTAATTTTCTGACCGTGATAGGGTGATCAACCGTCCTGTCAAGAAAATGGATCTCTGTGTCACCCTTTAGCATGATTAAATGGAGGCACGGCGCTGTGAGAAAATACCAAATTTTCACGAGACAAATGAAACTGGAGAAAGGACTACTTTTACAGGCATTATTTCATTTTAAAATCTCCCAAATGGCTGTCAGTTTATTTGTAAGAAATCATTACACTTAATTCTGTGTTTCTGCTAGTAATTAAAAAAAAAAAAAAAAGGCAAAAATATTTAAGAATTTTTTTCTCCCCCCCCTCATCTGGAGGCTTTGGGGAGGGATGTTGCAGGGAGGGAAGGTGGGAAGGTTGGGATTTTGTTGCGTTTGGGGTTTTTGGTTTGGGTTTGGTTTTTTTTTTTTAGATTTTTGGGTTTGGGGTGTTTGGGGTTTTTTTCTTTAGTTTCTTGGGTTTGGGTTTTTTGTTTTTTTGGTTTTTTTTTTTTTTTTAGATTTTTGGGTTTAGGGTTTTTGGTTTGTTTAGGTTTTTTTTAGTTTTTTGGGGTTTGGGGTTTTTGGTTTGTTTTTTTTAGTTATTTGGGTTTGGGGTTTTTGGTTTGGTTCTCTTGGGATTTTTTTTTTTTTTTTTTGAGGTTTTTGGCTTGGTTTTCTTGGTGTTTGGTTTGGTTTATTTTTTTTCAGTTCCTTGGGTCTGGGGCTTTTGATTTTGTTTTGTTGGTTTGTTGTTTTCAGTTTGTTTGGTTCTTTTTTTTCTTTAGTTTCTTGGGTTTGAGGTTTTGTGTTTTGTTTTTTTTTTTTTTGTTTCTTGGGTTTGGGGTGTTTGGTTTTGTTTTGTTGGTTTGGTTTTGATTTTTCTTTTTTTTTTTTTTTTCTAGTTTCTTGTGTTTGAAGGTTTGGTGTTTTTCAGTTTCTTGGGTTTGGGGTTTTTGGGTTTGTTATGTTGGTTTTTTTCCCTTTTTTTTTTTTTAGTTTGGGGTTTTTGGTTTGGTTTTGATTTTTCTGGGGTTTTTTTTAGTTTCTTGGGATTGGGGTTTTTGGTTTGGTTCCTTTTAGTTTCTTGGGTTTGAGGTCTTGGGGTTTTTATTTTTTGTTTCTTGGGTTTGGGGTTTTTAGTTTGGTTTGGTTTTGTTGAGTTTTTTCTTTGGTGTGGTTTTTTAGGTTGGGGTTTTTGGTTTTGTTGGTTCTGGGTGGTTTTTTTGGGTTTGGGGGTTTTTTTTTGTTTGTTTTTTGAGGTTTATTTTTTTAGTTTCTTGGGTTTGGTTTGGGGTTTTTTCTTCCTTTTTTTTTTTTCTTTTTTTTTTTTGAGGTTAAAAACTCCTGCACTGCAGCAGCTAAAGCTCTGCCGAGCCCGGGCAGGGGGCTCTCGGGGAAACCATCGGCCGGGCCCTCCCGAAGCGTTAACCTCCCTTCTCCCCAATCCTCTGGAAGGCAGGTGGGGGGTCCCGGGGGGGGGGGATTTGTTCACCGAGCCCCCCCCCCCCAGGTTTAATTTCCTCCTGGAAGCCGCACATGGGGCGGCTCTTCCTTCCCGCTGGGGTCAGCGCCCGGCCCATCGATCCGCCGGCTCCAGCAGCTGCTCCTTCCGCCAGGGGAAGCGGCGAAATTCAACGGGATAAAACCATCTCGGAGCGGCGGGCGGCGCCGACTCACCCCGAGGGGAGACGTCCCGGGGGGGGGGGGGGGGGGGAAGGAGAGGGTCCCCCCAGGACCTGTGGGGTGACGAGCGAGGGGCGCTGATGGGGTGGCGGGAGCGGGGCGAGCGGCCACTAAACAATTAAAACTTTGGTTCTCCGCTTCGGCTGTTACAGCCCGTTTCCATCCTTTTTCTCTGAAAGCAGTTAATATTGATTTTTTTTTTTATTTATTTTTTTTTCCCCCCCGCCCCCGCTCCTTCCTTTCCCCTACCATTGTTAAGCTCTGTTGTTTTTCCTCTCCCTTTCGGCTGGCACAGCTCGCCCGCACAAGGATGATCTAAAATTCCCTCCTCTTTCTTGGAGGCAACGTTTCGGGCCCGCCCCAGCCCCGGGAATGTCGTTAGCAGAGAGAGACGTACGGCGCGACTCGTTAATTCACCCTTCATTAATCCCCAAGCCCGATTAACTCTCCTTCAGTGCCAGGTGGTGCCTTCCGACTGCTCGGCAAGGGTTTCACAGCGGAGCGCTGGTGGGAGGATTAAGACTTCATTATTTCCGTAGAATATATGGCAGGGTGTTTCCTTGTATGCCGTGAATTAGTATTTTAGGTACAAGTGAACTCTACTTGTCAGAGTAAATGAATAGAATACTTCCCTTCCAGTCACTTTCTTCTAAGATTTTGGGTTTTTTACTCCAAAAAAAAAAAAAAAAAAATCACCTGCTTAATGAAATCCAGAATATATTACAGTAATGATATAAACTTCAATTTTATTTAAGATTCATAACGCAGGGAGGTTTTTTCACTGATTTTTAAAGAACGTTTGTTAAAACACTATATGTAACGTTTTAGCCTACAAAAATACTCGTGAGGTTTAATGGCGTGTATTATTACGCTAGAATTTAGTGAGAACCTGAATGGGATGAGGGGTCCTGAAACAAAGCAGTGCTTTTTTACAACGCAAATAAGTTACCCTGAAAAATCTGTCAATAAATAAAGAAATAAATAGAATTGCAACTTGTGATGCAAATTTTAATTTAACAAGAAACAAACCAAAAATCACCTTTCTCAAAAATTGGACAAGCACGGAATTCCGTGGGTCTTTTTTTTTTCAACGGAACAAATAAAATTGTGGGATTGCGGTTTTTTGGTGGCTCTTTTTTTTTTTTTTTTTTTTTTTTTTGCGAGATCATGACAGGTTTTGAAGGGTGGATTTCGTTGAAGACAGACCTGGCAGTAGGTGCTATTTAGGCTTTTATCGTGTGTTGTGGGCTTTGAGGAGTAAAAGGGAATCGTCTCCCCAACCCTGGTAAGGGCAGTAACGGTTTGGAAGACGTGATTTAAGTTAAACGGAAGCCTCTCTTATTTTCTCTGGGAAACACTATTGTTTGGAGTGTGAAAGAGCAACCCTGCTTTTGGTTTTTCTCATATCTCTTACTTTTTCCTTTGAGGTTGCCTGTCGGGTCTCCCCCAAACAAAAAAAATATCCACGTCCTACGAAGAGAGGCGGAAGCAAGCCACGGCCATCGTCCTGCTGGGGGTGATCGGGGCAGAATTTGGAGCTGAAATCGAACCGCCAAAGCTCCTCACGCGGCCACGCAGTTCCAGTCAGATTCCCGAGGGATTTGGGTTGACCAGCGGCGGATCGAATTATTCCTTGGCGAGGCATACGTGTGAGTAACCCGGGGCACCGCGCTCCCTTGCTCCGGGTGTTGGGGGCAGCGGGGCGGGGAGGAAGGGCTCTCCTTTATATTTCAGTACGAGCGGGTTGGTTTAAAATCTCCTTTCGCCAGGAAAGATGGGGAATAAAGAGGTCGCCACGAAATCGGCGCCCAGAGGGCGCGGGGTGACTGGGCGCAGGGTTAATTCCCCAGCAGCGGATTTCTCCTCCAATCTTCGCCTCGTGCCCAAATGCCTTTGAGGAAAAGTTGGAGGGGGGGGGGGCGGGAAAAAAAATCCAAATAATTGCAAAGCAGTGTATTGTCTCCGCTCAAAGCCATGACGGGGAGAGGACTGGTGGTAATGATAAAAGGGGGGGGGGGGCTGTCCTTCTGTTGGGAGCCCGGGCTGTACCCGCTCGCTTCCAAAGCGTGCCGCTCCGTGGAGCAAACCCCACACTGGTTTGGGGGAGGCGAGCGGCTGGCTGAGCAGCGTTCCGGCCCCTCAGCAGAAGAACTCGTGCCTGCCCCCCGGCGTGACTGAGGACGGGCGTTGCACCGGTTTCGTGTCTGCTGGTTTCTCCTCGCTCGTACCGGGGAGCGGTCTCACTCCCTGTATCGGGCTACAAAGATTTTTTGGGCAGAAAAGGCGGCACTTTGCAAGCCGAGTGGTGTTTCTGAGAAGCCTAGGGAAAGGTCTGGCAATTTTTTTTTTTTTAATTTTTCGACCACTTCACGTAACTCAGCCGTAGATCCACGGCTTTAGTAAACAGGACTATCCAGTCAGCCCTTTGCCGGCTGAAATGAAAAGTCTGGCGGTTCTCTGCTTCCTCTTTTACAGTTCCTTGCACGGCTGTGGAACTCTGCTTTAAATACTTGTTGGGGTTTTTTGCAACTGAGGTTGTTGGCGGGTCATTTTGTGTCTTCGTTTGTTGTCCGGTGTGTTCTGCATTATGGCCCATTTTAAGTTTCTACGCTATTTTGTCTCTTCAAGCAATAGCAGGCAGCGAAAGGATGGGGAAGACATTTCCACGTCGCTGGATGAGCCAGCGCAAGGGATTATCTGTGGGTAAACCAGGTTCTTCCCATTTCTCTGTTACGGGGCGAGGCCGAGTCAGACTTCTTCTCTTTCCGGACTGGTACTTGGGCACAGAGTCAAAATAAGCTGTGTTTGTCTTCTACAATTTCCTAAAATCAGAGGGTGCTGACGTCTTTATTAGACTCCAAGCCCCGGGGAGCGCGCCCTGCGCCGTTTGGAGGCTGTCGGTGAGGCAGAGATGGGTTTTGTCGCCTCCGGCTTTCCAGCAGCACGCTCCCCAAGCCAGATGGCTTTCGTCGCCGCTTCGCTTCCGAAAGGCTGTCAGGCCTAGTCTTCGGGGGAAAAGAAATTTCCATCGCCGGCGCCTCGCCCTCGCCGCTCTCACAGCCCCGTGGGCCCGGGGCTGGTGGTGCCGCTGCCTCGGGAGCGTGGCTGAGACGCTTGGGCCCGTCTCTGAGCCTCGCAAGTTCTTGTCTCCAGGGGCTTTGTTTATCTAGTTGCGTGTTGGCTTTGTTAGGTGCAGATTCAGAAACCCTGCCTGGCTGTCGGGCTGACGGAGAGGCTGCGATTCGGTCTGTAACGCGTCGAGCTTCGTCTGCCTTCAGCGCAGAAAATTTAGCTCGAGGCGGTGAGGTGCTGTCGTGGTTTAGGCCTGGTTGACAGCCAACCACAATGCAGCACCTCTCTCCCTTCCCCTCCGGCAATGAGAAGGGACAGAAGAGCCAGGCTTGGGGTTCAAGATAGGACTGGGATGGGGGAAAATCCCCCTTTATGGTCACGAGCAAAAGGCAGACTCGTTAGGGGAAGAAAAAAAAGAACATACATTTATTACAGACACTAACAACACATAACGGAGTAGGACAGTGAGAAGCATTGCCACACCTTGAGAACACCTTCCCCCCACCCCTCCCTTCTTCCCGGGCTCAGCTCTGCTCCTGATATCTCTGCCTCCTCCCCCAGTGGCGCAGGGGCAGGGAATGGGGGGTGCAGGCAGCGCTGCCACTTCCTTCATCTTCGGTGAGGGGAGTGTCCAAAACTTGTTCCTCCTGCTCCATCGTGGTCCCCCTCTCACAGCAGACAGTCCTCCACAAACTTTCTCCGACTTGAATTCCTCCCACGGGCCGCAGCATTCCCCACACTGCTCCGTCATGGGTCACTAACTTCCTCCGACTGGATTCCCTCCCACGGCTGCAGCCCTTCCCGAGCTGCTCCGGCGTGGGACTCCCCCGCATGCTGCAATCCTCCCAGCACTGAATTACAGCAGCGGGGCTGCCTTTTCCCATGAGACCCCGGCCTTCTTCGGGCACAGCACCTTGATCAGCTGAGCAGGAACATCAGGCTGTAAATCAATGTCTGCTCCACCGTAGATCTTCATGGGTGGTAGGGGGGGCTGCCCTGCCGTCTCACCACAGGATACAGGAGGGTCTCTGCTCCAGCACACCTCCCCGCCCTCCTTTCTTCCTCCGTTCCTCCACTGACCTTGGTGTTCATGCAGCTGCAGCAACTCCTCCTCCCAAGTCCGATTGCCTGTCACCACGTCCCTTCTTAAATACGTTATCGCAGAGGCGCAGCCGATTGGCTCAATTTCCCAAACAGAAGTGGAGCTGACGTGGAGCTGGGGGAGCTTCGAGAAGCTTCTCACAGGGGGCCGCCCCGATAGCCCCCTCCCCTGCCACCAAAAAACTCCACCACTCACTCAACCCAGGACAAGTGCTATCTGAAATAACTGAAGAGCCAGAGGAAGACAGGTTGGAGGGAATGAAAAATACCGGCGATACCGCATTCTGCTTCCAGCTGCTGATAGCCTTAGCAGTGAACTTGACCTTCTTCATCGCGTTCCCCACGCAGCCCTTCCTTATTGTAAGTGCCGGTGCGAACCAGCAGCTTCATTACAGAAATTCCTGGTTTTTTCTGCGTTTCGAGCTGCGGGGTTGAGTTGGTGCGGCTCCCCCCGCTCGCTGCCAAGGGGGGCTGGGGGGCAGAGCTGGGGGCCCCGGTGACGGCGTTCCCAGAAGCGGATTCCTCTCCTCCCCTTCGGTGTAAGGTGCGGCGCTTTTTAGTCGTCGTCTTTTCTTAGCCTATACTGAAACCGCACGCCAAAGTCATGAGCACAATTGCACGTAGCCTAAAGCCCACCCCGTTTGCTACTGCAAAATAAGTTAATCGAAGCAAATCACTCCTTCATTTATGCAGCGTTTTTGCCGTATAAATTGTGCGCGTTGTGATTTGCCGTATTTAAGAAAAAACAGCAATCGCCCTAATTGCCTTTTTGAGAGGGTGGAATTCTCTAGAAATCCACGCGGTGACCTTGCCTGACATCCCGCATTAATCTCCGTTGACCTTACAAATAGTTCACGAGGTGTTTAATTATAAAATGCCACCTAAAGAATTTCTCATTGCGGATGCGCCACGTGGCACCTACACTGCGGCTAATGCTGTGTTTATAAAGTTAATGGGCTGATAAAGCTGAATGGCTGTTCTGTCCTGAATATGGAAATACTCGATTCCGTTGTTCACGCGCTGTATTTTTCAAAGCCTCTGCCATCGGTGTAGTTATTAACGATAAGCAGTTTGCCCTTTAACTCACCCGGTGTCGTATGCGACAGCGTGTTCGGGGCACTGAGTTATTTATATTGGTTTTGCGGGCTCCGTGTACCCGCTTCCTTCCAAAGTGAATTTGAGAGTTCCCACACCGCATCATCCTCGGCTGTCCCTCCAGTTTCGCTGCTTTACTGGGTTAAGGAAGCTAACCGCCGGTTGGGCTCCTGATGCAGACTCACGATACCATTTTTTCCATTATGACATCCCAAATTCGTAGCAGCTGAGCGTGCCTGTTGGGCAGGAGGGGGGAGGGAAGCGAGTGAAATTCCTGGACAGAAACAGAAACCTGCCCGCCCGCAGAATTGCGTAGGGTTGCGCTGCCGGGAGCTGCGACGCTTCTTCCATCCCCGAGCCGTGTCCGTAGAACGTTACGCCTCGGAGCGGCCACCTCGAGGCTCTTCAGCCCCGTCTCCAGCAACCCGCAGCCAAAACTGGAAGAAAAGAATTCGTTTTCGAAGTAAATAGAGTTTCAGTAACATTGGAAGTTTAGCCCGTGCCCGTGTCAAGCCGGGGTTTGCCCTTGGGGAAGGGGCTTCTGCGTGGGGTGTGTGCCCACCCTCGACGGCGGTGGAGGACGAGGGCGGCCCGAGAAGCGGAGGTGGGAGAGGCTGAGCAGCCTGGGGCGAGAATCTCGGGTCCCTGGTGTTGGGACTGTCGCCGTACGAAGCGGTTGAGATATTGCACGTGTTGGTGGTGTCCTCAGTTTTGGGGTTTTTTTTTGCCCTTTTGCATTATTGACTGCCCGATATTCAGGCTTCCCCGCGCAGTAGTAGCTCATCGCTGCAGCCTCTGACCGCCTTTTTTAAGCAAGATATTTATCTCCACATGATTTCCACCACTACCAGAGTTGTGTCGGTGTGAGGTCGAGGTTTACCTTTGCAGAGCCACAGCGCATCTTGAATCCCTTTTTACACACGTGTAGGCACAAAAAAAAAAAAAAAAAAAAGTGAGCCAGCACCAGATTGCTCGGGGTGTGCAGGTATTTCACGCGTTCTGGTAAATTGGGATTTCCAGCCCGACAGATTTTTGCGTAGTATCCCAAACGTTTGTCAACTGAGAATTTAACAGAGGAGAAACTTGGGACTCTCGGTCAACACGGGATTTTTTGCTCCATCACTTACCTTGAAATCTTTTCTAACGTCTTTTGATTCTTTAGTTCTGGATTGTGAAAAATCTCTTAAGTTGCCAGCCCAGCGAGGAGGAGGAGGAGGTTGCTCCCTGCTAATTGTATGCAGGCACTGCGGCGCTGATAGGCTGAGCTAGGAGCAGCAATTAATCGGGATCATCACTTAACCAAGCAATAAATCAGCTGAGCACCTGAACAGCAGCTTTTCAGAGCAAATTAGGCCAATTGGCTCAGGAACTTAATTTAAGC